TATATATATATATATATATATATATGTCTATATAGAGAGAGAGAGAGAGGCCGCAAACCTCCACTGTTGCCTTACATCAAACGCCAACTCGAATTCATACTTCACCATCTCGTGCATGCACCAACACCGGCCCTTCCACCTGTTGCAAGCAGAAAGAAACAAAATAAAACAAAGACAAAATAAACAGAAGATACGTCAATAACAAAAAAAGGTGCTGCTGGCGAGACAAGCATAGAAAGAGGAGACAGCGGCAGGTATGGAGAAGGCTGTCGCATTCATATAATAGTACAAATGTGCTGTAAAGCAGTTGCTGCATATGCTACACCAGAAGAGCTTTCTGAGGTGTCTGTACACTCCAATATAATGCTGCAGCAGCAATAATGCTGCAGCAGCAATAATGCTGCAGCAGCAATAATGCTGCAGCAGCAAGCAGTGTCTCCCCCCTCTGTCACACTCACTGTGTTCCCTCATCGTTGGCTTCTATTTTAAACCACTCTTTGTCGTTTTCTTTGGCGAGAGTTAAGTAGTTAATTAAAGCTATATACTCTTCCTTCAGCCTCTCCTTCCACTCAGGGCTCCTTGGCCCTGCATTAACAGAGCAGAGAGGAAGCTGAGAGACCAACGCGCGAGTTGCTGAGTCTGTCATTTTATATTGTACACAAAAAAATAAAATAAAATAAAGGGTTTTAGCAACAAAGAAGAAGAAGAGGAGTTATCCTGTTATTTGGAAACGAGAGCGAGACGCCGGGGTGTACAGGCAGCTCAGCCTCTAACGATGCATGCGCCGTCTCAGTGTAAATTTATACGGGGCTCTAAGAAAAGTTCAAAAAAAGTAAATACTTCAACTAAATGAATATCACAAATTAAAGAAAGATCTGTCGGCTTGTAAAGGACCTGCCAGCCCCAAAACGCATGCATGCACGCATGCATGAAGGCACGTTAGGCTGCATTTCTCCAATAACTGTAATCATATATATCACAAAGATATCTTTTTATTTTTCTTTCTTCTTTGAATCTGCAGAAGTGCCGCTTGTTGTTCGTTTGCTGCCTTATCTTCCATCATTTCTTTTCTTCTGTTGTTTACTTTCGTTTAGGGGCAAGAGGGGGGGGCCTAGAGGCCCCTCTCTGCCCCTTTAAGTAACGCCTTATTCGTTTGCTGCTTCTGCTTTATCTTAAAGATGCCTCCGCCCGCCTTAGATGGGCAGGGGGGCCCCCAGCCCCTTGGGGAAGGGGGCCCCTTTGCAGCAGCAGCAGCAGAGACAGAAGACCCCTTGGTGCTTCTATCTCTGCCGCCTCCATCTTCTCTGTGTCGGTTCTTACCGTTGCTGCAGCAGAACGCTGGTGCTGCAGCACAGAAGAGCAGCAAGCAGCCTGCAGCAGCAAGCGGAGCAGCAAGCAGGAGCACCAGCAACAAGCTGCAGTCTCCTTCTCTGGACATAAACCCTGCAGCTTCCGCTCCCCTTGTTAAGCTGTCTCCTTCTCTTCTTCCTGATGCTTTGCGGCGTTTGTTTCAGAGGGACCCGCAGCAGCTAGCTATAGACAGGCAGCAGCTAGCTACCGACCAGCAGCAGCTAGCCACGGTAGTAAAGACAAGGGACATCAACCGGCATCTAACGTATACAGCACATGTCTCCAAGCTCTCCCCTCTTTCTGTTGTGCTGCTGATCTCGCTGCTAGCTCGCCTGCGGCAGCGGCAGCAGCAGCGGCAGCAGCAGCAGGTGATTGGCAACCGCCTAATCTATGCGCAGCTGCTAGCAGCCCCTCCTTCTCCCTCGCTGCTGCATCAGATGCATGCAGGGAAGCCCTTCATCTGCTTCTGCTGCTCTCTCCGCTTCTCTTCCTCGGCTGCAAAACTGCTGCATTTAGAGCGGCACATGCGGAAGCGCATGCAGCAGCAGCAGCAACAGCAGCACCAAGGCGGGGGGGGGAGACAGTCTCTGGCTTCCGCCCGTGCAGCAGCAGCAACAGCAGCAGGAGCACCATCGTGGCAGCCGTGGCCTTCAGTAGCTAGCTGGATTGCAGCAGCAAGCCGCCCTTTGGAGGAGGGTGCAGCAGCAGCAGCAGCAGCAGCAGATGCTGAGGCTGCTGCAGCAGCAGCAGCAGATTCGTCTTTGGCGTTGCATCAGCAAATGACAGCAGCAGCACACGTTCTTCTGTCTCTAGGGAGAGCAGAGCTAAGACAGCAAGAGCTACAGGGGCCCTCAGCTACCTCTGGGGATACACCTGCAGGGGCCCCCATAGGCGTCTCACGATTTCCTTCTTGGCTGCCTCCGTTTGTTGCTGCACAGTTTGCACTTGAAACGGGGCAAGCAGATGCTGCTGCTGCTGCTGATCCTGCTGCTGCTGCCCAGTCCTCCCTCACAGCGTCGGGGCCTTCAGAAGCTGCCGGCGCAGAAGCCGGAAGCTCAGGAGCAGCAGCAGCAGCAAAAGAAGAACCGCAGCAGCAGCAGCAACAGCAGCAAGCCGCTGGCCTAGCGGCTGTGACGGCAGAGACAGTGCAGCAGCTGCAGCAGCGCGAAACGAAGCTGTGGCAGTGGTGCTTCGCAGCAGCAGACTTCAGCAGCTCCAGCTTTACGTCAACAGGGGGCCCCCCAGGGGGCCCCTCTTTATGCGGAGATAGCCTGGCTGCTGCAGAAGACATTAAAGATGACGCTGCGTTGAGGTGTATGCACAAGATCTCTGCCTCTCCAAAGCAATGGGCAGCTGCTCTGCTGCAGCTAGCTGCTGCTCTACCTGCTAAGAAAGCAGCAGCAGCAGTTGCTGCTGCTGCCCCCTCCTTTGAAGACCGTGCAAGGGACGCCGCACCCGCCGAGGAGTATGAGCGTGTGCTGCATGCAGTGCGTCAGTGCGCAGCAGCAGCAGCGGGAGCAGCAGCAGCAGCAGCAGCAGCAGCAGCGGCTGTCGGTCCCCCTCGGGTCCTCATGCAAGAGGCCCAGAGAATGAGACAGTGCTTCTTGTGCTGCTGCTCCTTTGGGCTCAGCCTAGACGAGCAGCAGCAGCAGTATTACCTGCGGGAAGCAGTTGCTGTCGTGCTTAAGCAGCAGCAGCAGCAGCAGCAAGAACTGCTGGCTGGTGCTATCGTGGCAGCCATTGCTCCGGCAGTGCGCTCGGCAGCGTCAGTTGGAGTCAACAGCAGCAGCAGCAGCAACAGCAGCCAAAGTAGCAGCAGCAGCAGCAGCAGCATGCAGGTTGAGAGAGCAACAGAACAGAAACAGGAAGTGCTGTTGCTGGGACTCGCCGAAGCAGCAGCAGCAATTTCGAGTACTCCGTTATTCCGTCTGGCAGAAATGCAACCTGCTGACAGATTTTGTGACAGCAGCAGCAGACAGCAGCAGCAGCAGCAGCAGCAGCAGAAGGACGACTCAGCAGCAAAGCAGCAGCAAAAGCAGCAACCAAAGTACGCAAAGCTGAGCGCGTGTATTGGGGCGCAGCCCGCTGTCTTATCTGTTGCAGTGGAATTAGAATCAGCAGCATTGGTGCAGCAATCTGAAGGTGGATATCCTGCTTCTGCAGCTGCGGCAGCAGCTGCTGCTGCTGCAGAGGGCCGCGCAGCTAGCGCAGGCGATGCAGCAGCAGCAGAAGCAGCCTACAGAAGCCTCGTAAGCATGGAGATGGCTGACGGGGAACTCGAGCCCCTGCAGCAAGAAATGTTGGCGCTGCTGCGGCAGCAGCTCCCTGCCCCCAAGCAGCAGCAGCAACGTACAGCAGCTGCGGCTACTGCTTCCGCAGCAGCAGTTACTGACGCAAGTGCAGCAGCGGCAGCAACGGCGGCAGCAGCACCGCAGCAGCAAGAACACTTGGCGTTGGAGGAGGGATCTGCTGCTCTTGCTGTGCGCAGTGAGTTAACGCTGCAGCGTGTGCTGCCGCCAGATCTTGTGTACATACATCGAGAATGTTACCTGCAGCATTTGCAGCAGCAGGAGGCCTTCTTTCAGCTGCTGCTGATGCTTCTGCTGCTGCGGTGGTCGAGCACACAGGAGAACAAGGAGGCGCTCTTGTCGGTGGGACGTCTGCTGCTGCATTTGCTGCAGCAGCAAAAAGGCAGCAGCAACAGCAGCAACAGGAAGCGCCAGCATCTCCCTTTTTTACCAGAGCAAAGCAGACAGGTTTCAACCTCTCCTCTCATACAGAAGAGGGCCTGCTCTTTTAATCGCAGGACAAGACGGCGATTCTAGAGGCTTTTGTCTTCATGCGAAAGAATTCCATAGTGTCAACAACTAGGCAGCATCAGCAGCAGAAGCAGAAGCAGAAGCAGCAGCAGCAGTTGCCACTGCTGCTGCTACTCTTCTCGCTGTTGCTCTGGGCCGTTATCTGCAGAGCGGATTCCCCCGCACTGAAAATATGCCTCCCGAAGCAGCTAATTTATCTTTATATCTTTTTTTCTACACTTTGGAAACTCTATTGGAAACTCTAGTAAAAGGGAATAGAGAAGTAGGAGGGAAGAGAATATAGCAGGAGTGTGGGGGCCTCTACATAGATAGACGCAGTTAGGGGTGAGCGGATATATCTTCTTCTCCACACAAAATGCACACAGAGAAACATAAAGACCTCCTAATGCCAGCAAACACCGGTTGCTGGCAGCAAGAGGACATGCCGCTGCATCAGGACAAAAGGAGACGTCTCCGGTAGCGTCAGCATTACAACAATAGCCCTTAGTTCTTACTCACTTACAGGAGACGCTCGTGATGTGCGGCTTTGTGTCCTTGCCCTTTCTACCAGCCAATCTCGTTGTCATCAATAGAAGCCCAACACGCACTTATATACGTAGAGGGGCGAGTTGGTGCAAGAAATTTTGAAGTATTACTGCTCTCGTCAGTGCAACGAACATCTGGGGAGGCGCAGCAGCAAAAGAAAGCCTCATTTGCGGAGTAGAGGATGGCTCCTCCTGTTGCTGAATATGCACACGGTTCTTTTTATCTGTGCATGCTACTCCAGTGTTCAAGAGTTGGAGCCTCATTCGCTCTGAGGTCCCTTACAATAACCTTTCTTTAGGTAACTACTTTATCATGGGGAGGCGGTTTACCATGTTGCAGCTGGCAACTTGTAGAGGACAGCTTGTTGCTATAGAGTCAGCTACGTCGCTTAGGGGACCAATATCTGGCACGTATATATATATATATATATATATATATATATATATATATATATACGCGCCTGCCTTTGGCATTTGAAGGCAGTCTCCGAGAGAGGAGCCTTACCTTAATACGTGTACGAGTTGTACGAAGGTGATATGCCCGCTGGAAACTCTGGCAGTCTGTGGGGAGCATTTGCGTGTTTGCCCAGCACCGCGGACAGTAAAGCTTAAAGGCGCATGATGTTTGGAGCGCAGGCAAATCGTACGTCTGCATGCGAATATGTCGGCCTCTCTTGCGCATCTCGAGCTGCCTGCTAGTGAGCTTTCGTGCTGAGTGCCTGACGGAGTTTTAGTGCTTGTAAATGCTAGATAACGCACTTTCTGTGCGAATTGTAGTGACAGATGAGTAAATGGACGGCCCTGAAGGTATACTTCCAAGAGCCGCCCCTACGAGCCGCCTCCTCTGTTCAGGTAGACTACCAACAGGGCGTTTTGTTGGTGTTTCCCATCGAAAACAACTCGCTGGTTGCGCCATATGTCGAGATGTCCGTCGCACCAATCATGTGAGAGCTTCGGGTAGCCCCTACAATGCTCAGTTTCGAACGTTAAATAGAATAGTCATTATCGAGGCTTGCCGGTCCACAACCTCAGCACACTTCTATACAAACATGCACATGCTGAGGTGCGGTGACGTGTCGGCACTTTGGGGGCCTGACTTTGTATGGCGTCTGTCATGTTAGTAGAAGGGCAACCGCTATAAACTGGCTTCCCACTGGGAACTAACTAGCTGACTGCATACGAGCGTAGCACCCATTGGGGCAGCTATATCAACTAGTATTCGGGGTAATCTTGGGCTTTTTAGTATTGATTGGGGCTCCTCAGCCAACAGAAGGCAGACAGGCGGCGTAGCGAAGCCCTTCAGGGGAGAGGAGATGGCGCCAGTTTTTATTTGGTTGCCTTGCAGAAAAGGCGGGAAGAAACCGCCTTCACCGAGGCATCGTGTGACCTAAATGGTCTATCGAGGCAGGCGGTGTAGCACGGTCCGTCAAAGATTCGTGGATGTGGATGAATCGATATTTGTCTTCGTGTTGGCTACTGAAACTCAAGAAGCTGTTCAACGGTTTCGAATGCATCGAATGGCAGCATGGGGATGCTTGCCTACCTGGATCTCAACCCAGCCATTGAGGGAAGATGTGCAGTATCTCAAAAAGGGATCTAATCCGCCTTCACGGGATATGCTGTACAAAGAGCAGCACATATATACTTCTCCCAGTTACGGTTCACCCAGCATATACATACCGCTCCAACTTATGGTTTGCTATTAGCGTTCAGCCGTTACCCAGCGGGTGGTTCGTAATGGGCATTTTATTGTTAGTATGGGTGTTGAGATGCCTCGTGAAGTTGTGGCAGAAACATTAGCAAACACCAGGCACCTGGCAGTAGCAAAGGTTTAGTAGAGTCTATGAGATTTCCAGAAGTGACTAAGTCACTCCTTCTGCTGTAACTGAACTTGAAGGGAATGAAGTGGACATACTTGCTGATCTTACATACAACAACGTAAATGCTTTCGCAGCCTCGTACTGGTGATAAATCCACTATGCAGTTCGTCCCATATCCCCATCCAACTCCGTTTACAAAATGCACGAATTTGCAGCAGTCAGGGTTTTCGAATGATGCATGGATTCAACTGGTGCGCTTCAAAAAATTTGCAATATAAATTGCCTACATCAGCATAATCCTTAGCTCAACGGCACTACCAGGGCCATTCAGAGGAACTGGCCGCCCTTGCCACTATTCTGTAGGCTCCCCCTTTTTGAAGGCACGATTGTGCATTCCGCGCAAAATCTCTGTACGAAACGAAGCTGGGGAGTATAATCGGCGGAGTCCACTCTTTGTTTCGTACCACAAGGGTTCGGCATTTCTGCTGCAGTGTTTTTACCCGTCTTCTGTTTTTGAGCTTCGCAAGAACAGCAGTCACGTGAGTATCACGGGAGTCATCAAACACGTTTGCGGGGGCCGTTCACAGTGGCTGAGCGGTAGGGGATCCGGAAAGTGAGTAGTTCAGGTAGGTTTGCCTGTCAAGTACTGCTGGTGCAGCAAAAGCCACCAAACAGCTCCTTCCTTACTGGAGTCTTGCAAAGCCCTTGTCAGATGTATCAGGGATGAACGATCGATTTGCAAAGTAACATCTCTCCACTGTCAGTAGTTCCGATTCTCCTATTTACCGCTGTTGCTGCCACTCCCACAGAAGGCAAACAATCCTGAATCCCTAATAGTCGAGAAAGTGGATGGTCGATTCTCTTACAACGATTTGCTGGTTATGAAACCCCCTCCGACCAGCAAATTCAAAATACCCATGAGGCAGGGTCGCAGGCGAGCCCTAAACCCGACCAAACCCAGCTTCAAAATATGCAAGAAAATTAAAGCGCTGCAGGCGGAGGAGCTGATCTCCCAAGGGTAGGGAAAAGGATACAAATCACACCAGTAAAATAATTATCGCCAAAAGGGGTGTAGAGATGCACGTATACGGGCTTCTCTATACACGTTACAAAGCAGCTCTCTATCGAAGGTTGTACGCGGCCCAAATCTACGCTGGGCTGTGCATGCGCACTCATCTAGTCGCCTACGGCGGGTCGAACCGGCCCAACTCAGTAAATGCTTTCAACAAGCCTACTTCACTACTATGCCCCCATAATTATCAAGCAGTGGCCCCACCCCTCAATGATGCCCCTCAAGAGAAATGGGCTCGTAGCTCCGAGCGAGCTTGCCACTTGGGACTCACATTCACCAAAAAGTCGTATTCTTTTATAACCGCACTACTTATGCATCCCTTGCCTGAGCTTTTTTAATTCTGTCATAGCTTGTTCCGTTGTGGGTCTGCGAATCAACCTAAGTCTCAGCTCATCTTGCATAGCGTACATACGCGGGACGCTCTCCAAAAACGTGGCTCTTGGCTCTCGCTCGGATACAGCCACCGTTTCTGTGTCTCCCCTTCTGACGAAAAGGATTCCTATAACAACTGTGCCTCGTCCGCTGTATGGAAGCAGAAATCACTTCCCTGGAAAAAGCCAGAAACACCTGCATTCTCACAGACAGATGAGCCCACCATATTTGGACGATTAGCAGTGGGCAACACGGCATTCTTCTTGAGCCACCTTTAAGGTGAAAGTGCTTCTGGCCAGATGTAGTGCGAAGAATCCTAAAGTCCCACTACTAGAGTGGGAAAATGCCCAAATTTCGGCATCGACGTGTAGGGGCTGAACCCCGCGCCGACCAGCAAAGTCAAAGCACGCGAGAGGCACGATCTCAGGGGAACCCTAAACCCAAGTCCAACCACAAAATATGCAAGAAAATTGAAGTGTTGCAGGAGAAAAGGCCGACCGTCCCCATAGGTAGCCAAGGGGATACAAATCACACCAGCACAATAATCACTGCCAAGAATCATGCATAGAGACGAATACGGGCTGCTTTAAACACGTTCCAACGCAGCTGTCTACAAAAAGTTGTACGCGACCCAAATCTGAGCTAGGATGTAGTTGACTACTATGCCCCCATAACTCTCAAACAGTGACCCAAGCTCTTCCTGATGCCTCTGTCCAGAGGAAAAGCGTGTGTTCAACCACTCCTGCAGCAACTCCGAGACCACTTGGAACTCAAGTGGCACTCACCAAAAAGTCATAGCCGCTCTACTTATGCATCCATTGCTAAGCTTTCTTAATTCTGTCATAAGTTGCTCCGTTGTAGGTCTGCGAATTAACGTAAGTCTCAGCTCTTCTTGCACAGCGTACATACGCTGGACGCTCTCCAGCAACGTGGCTCTCGCTCGGACACCGTCACCGTTTCTGTGTCTCCCCTTTTAACGAAAAAGATTCCACTAGTAACTGCAGCTCTTCTGCTGCATGGAAGCAGAAATCGCCTCCCAAAAAGCCAGAAACACCTGCATTCTCACAGACCGCTGATCCCACCATATCTGGACGGTTAGCACTGGGAGATGAGGCATTCTTCTTGAGTCGCCTTTAAGGTGGAAGTGCTTCTGGTCAAATGCAGTGCGGAGAGTCTGAAATTCCCACTGCTGG